GTCTGCATTCGATCGGTGATTCTTGTAGAATGTGGAATAATTGAGTTTAAATTAGTAGTTCATGATTCCTCAACACATATTAGTTAAGTATTCTCTTGTTGAAATGGAATTTCATATCGTGGACATTAATTGTTTTTAGATTTATCGTTTAAAAATGAATTTGTACATCCGGGGCTTGAAAATGAATTCTTGTATCCAGTGCCTGCAAATTAATTTATATAGCCAATGCTTGAAAATTAATTTTTAAGTGCAGTGCTTGCAATTGAATTTTGTTGTACTCGTTCTCTGGAAGTTCCTATGATGAAGAAATAATGGTCTTTTTTTTTAGTAAGCCATTAGTAATATAACATCTCGCCTCAACCACGGAAGTGGACTTCAGCCCTTCTCGAGCAATTCTTATTCAGCGATTCGAGAATAAATCAAAGTCACGACTTCGAATCGACTCTTTGAAATACCAGACACTTTCAGACGACGTATCCGTGTTCCGTGCAAAATTCCGGGGAAACGAAAGGAAAAATGAGCAGAAGGAAACGGAACTCGACTGCTGGGAGTTCGGAAACAACTTTGAACGAAAATGGCATGCTGACGTTATCCAATTTCGACATCGAAATTACGACTTCGAGCATCCTCGCGACCGGCGTTGCTAAACCGCAAGAACGTCTGCAGAGTCCCCTAGTTGCACAAAATATTTGTCCTATATTTTCTATATATTTAACGAAAATCGTACATTTTGTAAATATNATTTCTATATATGTTTATAAATTATTGAAACTAAATATGTCATTGAGATTTTCAACAAATATTTCAGATATCTTCGAATGAAATTTACAAGAAATCTTAAAAAATCTGTCGCTTGAGATATTTAGCAAAGATTACAAAGAAATATTTAGAAATTATTCTATGCTACTAGGGTCCTCGATGTAACGGAAACCATACATCATGTCCTCCTCTTTCCAAATTCTCGCCATCGTAAAATCATTCACCTTTTAAATATACTTCTTTAAAATATTGTCAAAAAGTCGAAATGTCATTCAAAAAAAATTCTTCTTGTCCATCTGCACTGTTGAAGAGTAACGTCCTCATAATTCAGTGATTTGAAGTTATTTGGAACTTCACTCGTGTTGCAGACATTGCACAATTAAATTAGTCCTAGTTTTATTGACATGACTACATTCGTAAAAAAGTGAAAATGTCATTAGAAAAAAAAAAAAACAGCTCATTTCCTCTTGTCCATTTATAATGTCGAAGAATGACGTCCTCATAATTCGTTGATTTGAGATTATACGAAATCTCACTTGTGATGCCCAAATTGCACAAGTAAATTAGTTCTACTTTAATTGGCATGGCTACATTCTCAAAAAAGTCAAAACGTCATTAAAAGAACATATTTCCTCTTGTCCATTTGTAGTGTTGAATAATGATGTCCTAATTAGATGACTTGAGGTTACGTGGAACTCTATTCGTGATGTATAAGTTGCACAATTAATTTCGGACTCCTTCTATTGGCAGTCTCAGTCCATGTAAATGGACACATACACCATAATTTGTAATCCGATTGCAATAGATGACATTATCGTTGGCACAACCACATTGACAAAAACGGGAGGCCGATATCGCCAGGACGTCCTGTGCGGTCGGAGTGCGGTCTGCATGCGTGCGAACGTGCTCCGTATTTATGTAATCGTCCTCGCTCTTCCGACACCTCGTTCTCCGCTAATTTGCTCAATTTATCTACGGTTTTTCCGGAAACTTGGCGTTGATTAGGTCGTCCTACGCCTCGCCGTTGAAATCTCGAGATTAAAAGCGAAACAATCGTTGCCATCTCCTTATCAGAGTCCTTACTCTGTCTCACTTTTGAGATTAAGGGACGCTTTTTATCTCGCCTTTAAATGATTAAATTAAACAAATATAAATATTAAAATAATAATCCGGAACAAGAATTATGAACAGGGATTAAACGAATATGTCTTTTTCATTAATTCCGAGTGCTTAGATTTCGATATCAATTTAAATATTCCGTTTTCAGGTTAAGGGACATCTCCCATCCGTGCTTAAATAATTAGAGGGCACCTTTTAATACTAAATAATGGTATACACATACTTTAACTTATTCATTAATTCCATGGGATTTTAATCGTATTTCTTATGAGTGATTGGTTACCACCGTCAGTGATGATATTTAATTTTAGACTCGAAATAAAAATTCCACTGAAACAAAGAAATATTTCGTTAATACAAACAACTATTTCGACTTGAATCAACTCAAATAAATTGTCATAATACCGGAGAAACGTTGCATTCAATTTATTCGAATTTCAGTCAAATAATTACTCTTTGAATTAACAAGATATTTATCTGGTTCGATGAATTAATTTTTCTCAGTGTTAACTTTTTCTATCGACTCCCAGTCTGTTCCTCCATCTTCCCCTTTCCCACAAGTATTGAGAAAGGGTTCCCAAGAGATTTTTTTTTCCGCTCCTTATCAGCCTCTCCAGAAGCCAGGGTCTCGTTAGCTCTTCGAGGACTTTTCTCGGATAGCAATGAGAGCTTATAATCGACGCGAAGCATGGAGAATCTTTGCCAAAGTTCCTAATCGAGAACTCGAAGCGTCTCTTTTCAGGGAGTCAAAGACCTCGATTCTCCAAATATTGTTTCAGCATGGGGAACCATGACTTCGGGTTACTTCGTGCTTCCAGCCCCAGTTGACCCGGGTTCATGTCGAACGACACCCTCTTCAGGATCAGGTCTCTTCTTTACGAGGAGCACTCGAGTACTCGTCGAGCTCGCGATATCGTGTTTGCTCTCTCGATTAGGAAGGATTTCCAACGGACCTCTTACCCCTCGTTTTGTCAAGGACATAAGGTGGAATTTCTCCCGGATATCCTCAGGGTATCGCGACTGAGCCAGATTAGTCTCGACCAAGAAATGAGCTCCTGGAAAAGGGGAGGAAAATTATATTTTCAGCTTTCGTGTAATCTTGAGCCAATGACTTTATCATTATCTCATTCTGATGATGTTATCGCGCGATTGGTCTTCTTTTATCGTTTTCTTTGTGTCGGATTGATTAGTAAGGCTTTGAAATCTGTCATTACGAAAAATTGATCTTATCCATCAAATCGTATTACTTTATCGAAATCATTAATTTTTTTAATTATCTTCCTTTCGTTCTGAAGAAGAAATATTTTATTTTCGATTTTCGAGCGATCTGGTCTTTGCTGGATGATGAGCAAGGTTTTAGAATCTTTCATTGTAATTTATTATCTTATTCCGAAGAAGAGAAATTATATTTTCATATTTCAAGTGATGTGGTCTAAACGATCTTAATAACATCCAGACAATTTGATCGTGTGGTCTTTTTCATTTTTCTTGCTGGATGATAAGCAAGGTTTCATAATCTTCTGTCGTAAAAAATATAATCTAATTAATTTAAACAGTTTACTTCCACTTTCTGGTGCCGATGATAAATCTGAACTGTGTATTTTTTCTATCGTTAGGCTGTTTTGTAGGTGTTAATAAGATATCTCAAGCAAGTGTGTCTGAATCAGTAGGAAAATATACGACGGTTTTAATGATGGAAGGATCTCGCGAGTTGAACCGACCAAGACAGTGACGTGCCTCACGTTTAGGATTACTATCATTTGTTTGAGATAAGCGATACTCCATTCATAGCCCCGACGTCGTTCTCTGTCTTCCTCCCAACCACCGTCTCCTTTTTTCTGATTCAGCGATAAGCTCCATTAAGGAGGTCGGTCGTATCCGGTCCCACGTTATACAAATAAATCCAGATCCGAATGTCAGAGTGAGAAAGAGAAAGAGTCGGGTCACTCGGGATTCCTTTGGGATTCCTTTGGGCAAAGGATCTGCCCGATGGATCGTGGAAAACCGCCTACCAATAAAACCTTATCACTCCAAACATTCTGCCCGACTTGCGCCTCGAACCGACTTTGAGGTGCACTTTTGTGTATCTAGGATCCTCGAAGAGGGGAGACTTGATAAACGATATCGTACGGAGAAGTCGTAAAAAGACACCATGGGTGTGTGTCTAGGATCGTTGAAAGACTGGAAGAAAACCATTGAGAGGAAGATCGTTAAGTAAAGATGTCCAAACACGAGCTTGATAAGAGAGGCGCGAAGTGTTTGGATCATTTCAGCTTATCAGGACCCTGACCACTGATCGCGGAATCGAGAGAATGAATTGTATATTTACAGTGAGAAGAAAAAATTCATTGAACCAAAGAAATGCTTCGTTAATGCCCAGAATAATTGTTTGACTCAAATAAATTATCATAATTCCGAATAAATGTTGCATCCAATTTAATCGAGCTTATATGAGTCAAATAATTATTCTTTGAATTAACAAAATATTTCTTTGGCTCAATGATATTTTTTTCTCAGCGTAGATGAAACCTCGTTTCTTGTTCTCGGATATGCCACACTTTTTACAAGTGTGGGGACCGACATGGTTATGCACGAAAATTTGTTAAGCTGCGATCATAGAGAAATCATTGCTAGACTGTATATATACCCTGAGAAAAAAACAGTTGGTTGACTCAAAGAAACATGCATTACTATAACAAAATCCTGCGATGTAATACGTCCAAAGAAATGTCAGGAAGAGTAAAAAAAATTCATTCAAATCGACGATGTAACTTTTCTTTTCAATAGAAAGATTCTTCACAAATTCTCGTTTTACTTATCGAAAATCCTAATTTCAAAAGTGTCAGGATAATTCTTAGGTGTTCACGAGTCATGTGTTTAAGTTTCAGACAGTTCGGTCTAATATCCTTAGAAAAAAAAATAGTGTTTTATTCGAATCGACTGGTTTGAGGAGAGTTTCACTTCACCTTAAAAAGCCGCCTTACTGTCGGGTTATTGTATTCTTTTTATTTTTATCATTTCGTTCTATTGGCGTGTCAAAATGGGATTCGCGAAAGTTCATTCCATGTCGATCTGTTTCTAGGAAACAGCGACGAAGGTGAGAAGGTGGTGGCAAGCGGCACCGAGGGCGGAAGTTCAGCCGAGAACACGGAAATGGAAGAAACCGATTCCTCGCGTCCTTGCAGCAATAATCTCATTTACGGCGAGGTGAAACCTCTGCATGCCACCAGCCCTCAGGACATTCTTCAAGAATGTCTTCAGACAAGGCCAAATTACCAGTCCGACTACCCCTTGGTGCTGGACAGGCCGAATTTCAAGAAGGATCTCAGGTCTCCCAAGGATCTGGAAGACGACCGGAAGGTCTGGGAGAGTAGCAAGAATCCCGATTCCAAGGAATATCCGATGTCCGGAGATTCCTGTCGAAACGATTGTTGTAAGATAATCATGTTTTTCATTCCGAGTCATTAATTCCGGAAATTATGGATTTTAATGCTCAAAATCAGGTGGAAATCTGCTGGAAATCCCGAGCAGACATCATTGGAAATCATTGAAAGGTTGTCACAGTTTTAAGGCTGAACGTTATTTGTTACCGAATCTTATTGTTGTTTATTATATGCAATCAAAGGCAATTGGTCCATAAAGAAATAAATCGTGGATTTATATGCTCGAAGTCACGTGGAGATCTGTGGAGTTTGCTTTTCAATTTTAAGATTAAAATCGTGTAATTTTGAATTTTGCGCTTGATGCCATGAAGGTGCAGTTTATATTTTTCTTTTTTCACGATTAAATCCGAGGGGCCACTCGTAAATCAGTGAAAACGAGATTCTTCTTTGCTAACCGATTTTGAGCATTAAAATCCACTATTTCCTGAATGAATAAGCCCTCGGTCGTAGCCCTGGAAACGCGATTTTGAAATTTGAAGATAAAACCGCGAAAATGAAATTTCAAATTTTGAGGTTGAAATCATGGAAACGGATTTTCAATTTTTAGATTAAATTCACGGCTACGAAATTTCTCATTTCGAGGTTAAAGTCATGCAGGCGTAATTTTGAATTTTGGGATTTAAGCCATGATTGGTGTAATTTTGAATTTTAAAATTGAAGCTTCGCAAGTAATTTGGAATGCTGTGGGTAACGCCTTGAAAGTGTAACTTTGTGTGACTGTAACTTTAAATTTTGAGATTAAAGTCCCGAAGGTTTGATTTTGAACTCTGAAATGAAACTTGCGAAGATGTAATTTGTATTTTCAGGGTAATGACTTTTTCTACGGTCCCGGTATTTCCTTTGAAATGATTGATTTAGTTTTCATTAATTCACAGGTGGCGTCGAAAGCGTGAGTGCAGAGGACATGGATCTTGTCGAGTCTGACTCCTCTCGTCCTTGCGGCACACATCCTGTCTATTGTGAGACGAAACCCCTACTCGCTCCGACTGTCCAGGACCTCTCTTCAGATTATCACCAGGCGAGGTCCAGCTACCAGCTCGACTGTCCCCCGATCGTGGACAGGACGAGTTTCCAGGACCTTTCGATTCCTCCTCGAGAGGATGACCGGAGGATCTGGGAAAACCTGAAGAAATCCGAGACCAAGGAATACACGGCCACCGCAGATTCCTGTCGGAGTGATTACAGTAAATGTCCCTTGTAACATTAATTTAATTAACGCACTAAGAAAAAATTTCATAAAAATTTCAGAACCAGAGAAATATTTCTTTGAATGGTAGCAATAAAATAATTCGTTAATCCGAAGGATTATTATTTGACTCAAATAAACTCGAAGAAATTGGATGCAACGTTATTCGGAATCGTGACAATTTAATTGAGTTCATTTGTTTCAAATAATTATTCTTCGAATTAACGATATATATCTTCGGTACTATTCAAAGAAATATTTCTTTGGTTCGATGAAATTCTTTTCGTTTCTTTTCAGGGTGAGGTCAACTTTCATGGGAATCTAAAAATGGAATAATATGTCGAAATTAATTTATATCGAGGGGTGAATTAAATATGCAATTAGTTTGTCAAGAGTTTTTGTCAAATTTCAGGTGGCATGGAAGGCGGCAGTTTCTCTAAAAGTGCGGAAACGGAAGAGACCGATTCTTCGCGTCCCTGTAGTAACAACCCCGTCTTCAGGGAAACGAAACCCCTGCACGCGAGTCGGGACGGCCCTCAGGAATTCCTCCAGGGGATGTCGAATTACCGATCTGAGTATTCCCTGGCCTTTGACAAGCCGAACTGCAAGAAGGACCTCCAGATCTCTGCCGACAGGGAGGACGACAGGAAGTTCTGGGAAAGCAACTCGAAATCGAACCCTAAGGACTGCCCCGTCCCTAGGGATTCCTGCGAGAGCGAATATCGTGAGTCCTTTAGAAAAGAACAGTCTTTAAGAAGAAAAATTCTTTATTAATATTTAGTATCTTTTATGCTTAAAAATTAAAAATGGGCATTCATTAAGGGGATAATTTCTGTTGCAGAACCCACGATAAAGCAGGAACCGGGAGAGTCGAAGGAGCAGAACAAGGATTGGGTTTGTCCAGTTCCGGAAGTCGAGGTCGGAGAATCCGCTACTGGAGAACCGCACGTTCGCGCAAGGAAAGACATCCCTCGTGGAACGAGGTTTGGTCCTTACCTGGGAAAATGGACTGGAGAGCCCTTCGACCTTCGCTATGCCTGGGAGGTGAGTACCTAAACCTTCAAACGAATTTTCCGAGGGACTATCAGAAAAAGCGATCTATTTCTTTGAGAATCGATTTGATGTCACGTGATAAACAATGCGATTCGGTAACAAATGACGTTTGGTTTTAAAATTGTGACGTTTCGGTGACTCCCAACGATTTCCACCTTTTTCTGCTTGCGATTTCGAGCCGAATTCCACGTGAACTCGAGCATTAAAATAATTAATTTCAATGATTTCTTGAGTGAATAACCCCTTGAAATTTCCTCTACATTCTTCCAGAACCGACATTTTCAAAATTACGATCCTCGCATGTTGATCATTCCGACCTTTCGTTTGAAAATTTCGCTCGTAAAATCCACCACCACTGGACTTTGAAAAAATGTCATTAAACCATTGAAATATTATGTTAATTCAAAGAATTAACTCGAATAAAAGTGGATGCAACCTTTCATCGGAATGATGATAATTTATTTGAGTTTATCGGAGTCAGATAATTATTCCTTGTATTATCAAATTATTTCTTTGGTTCAATGGAATGTTTTTCTTGATGTACCTCACGGTATTTAAATTATTCTAACATGTCTTTATATTTTATGATATTTTCTATACACCATGACTGTATATACCACATAATTATTTACATTTACATCATTATTACATTTACATTATTTACATGTGGTCGAATTATTTAGTTGTGATCTGGAATTTATATACTTTTTTGGAAAAGGTTTTTGGGGGAGCAGAGATTCTCTATTTTTCCCCTGATAGGGGACGGACGGATTCACACGCGAATCTGTTCGTCGATATCATCTCGAGGAGAGTCGTCGAACCGTTTGAAAGATGATCGATCTGTTTATAGTCGAGCTCTCTAGAAATGCTCGGTTCGTCCCGACGCAGTCGGGTTTCCGATCCCGCTGCCATAATCCTGGGGTATTATCCGGCAGATGCCGAGGACAGACTCGTCCTCGTTCTTCGACAGCAGCCACCTGGTGGCATTGCCGTGCCGAAGGTGTCATCCGCGTTGACAGATTCGTCAATTTTCTCGCTCGCACTTTTCCTCTGTTCCGCCTTTTCTCGTACGAAGCCGCCGGTTTTCCACGAAAAATCGCTCTCGTCCCGCCTCGATCTTTCCTCTTCGGTGCTCTTTCGACGGCCGATGAAGAGATTTAAAGAAAACAGTGCTCGAAGTCACCTTCCGTCCCTGCTGACGGATTCGGGGATCCCGACTTTGAATTTCCAGCCTTTTTCGCCACTCCTTTTCGCCCTTCTTTTATCTTTCCGCGGGTAACCTTTAAAGTACAGGATGAAAATTCTACGGATATTCAAAGATCTGAATTTAAACTTGGAAGTGTTAATTTTAGACGTGGAATATTAATTAAAATCCCTGCAGGCGAATTTGGGGATCCCGATTTTTGAATTTCAAGCCTTTTTCGCCACTCCTTTTCGCCCTTCTTCTATCTTTCCGCGGGTAACCTAAAAAATACAGAATGAAAATTCGACGGACATTGAAAGATTTGAATTTAAACTTGGAAGTGTTAATTTTAGACGTGGAATATTAATTAAAATCCCTGCAGGCGAATTTGGGGATCCCGATTTTTGAATCTCAAGCCTTTTTCGCATTCCTTTTCGCCCTTCTTCGATCTTTCCGCAGGTAACCTAAAAAATACAGAATGAAAATTCGACGGACATTGAAAGATTTGAATTTAAATTTAGAAGTGTTGATTTTAGATGCGGAAACCTACTTTTGAATTTCTACATTTTTTGGCACTCCTTTTCGCCCTTCTTCTATTCCTCCATATTAACTTAAGAAGTAAAAAATGGAAATTCTTTAGAATTTTAAAGGCCTGAAATATACAATTCGATAAGTGTTAATTTCATATGTGGAATTTTAATTAACAGTTTTGCCGGCAGTTTCGGAAATCAAAACTTTTGAATTTCCACCTTTTTGCGCCACTCCTTTCCGCCCTTTTAACCTAAAGAAGAAATAAGAACTTTCAGGAAATTTAAAGACCTGAATTTAAAATTTGAAAAATATACCGTTCGATAAACATTGGTTTTAGACGTGGAGTTCCAATTAACATTTCTGGTTTCTCATTTTCCGTAAAACGAGTTAAATAAATTGCCAAGGAGTGCCGGGTAAAGCGGAAGGGAAAGGAGAGAGGGTTGTCAATGGAAGCTGTATAAAGTTCGGTCAGGTTGGCGGGATTGATTTGGTTGTTTGTAATCGGTGGGACAATGGATTTCGTTGATTAAGATACCTTTAAAGGAGAGAAAGAGTTGAATAATTCAACTGGGAAGTTTCAGGAAACGTATTTCTGTTGGAATTAATATGCTAGAAACGTTTCAGGAAGGTATCTCGGGTAGAATCTATTTGGAGTGGTTCGGAGCCGTCCAAAGTCGTCTGAAGTAGTTCGAAACCGTCTAGAATGGTTTGGTAGAAATGGTTCAAACTCGTCTGGAATTAAGCGAAATGATTTGGAACTTACTCTGATAATCTGAAATGACCCAGACAGTCCGAAACAGCCAAAAAGAGTCCGAAACAGTCGAAGAAATAGTCTCAAACAATCCGAAACAGTTCGAAACAATTTGAACCAGCCCGAAAGAACCCAAAAACAGCCTAAAAAAGCTCGAAATAGTCCGAGACAATCCGTAACAATTCGAAACAGTTCTAAATAATCCGAGACAATCCGTAACAATTCGAAACAGTTCTAAATAATCCGAGACAATCCCATTCGATCTGAAACCCAGACGAAACAGTTCTAAACAATCCGAGACAATCCGAGACAATCCGAAATAATCCGAAATAATCCAAAACAATTCGAAACGGTTCTAAATAATCCGAGACAATCCGTAACAATTCGAAACAGTTCTAAACAATTCGAGACAGTCTGAATCGGTCCGAAACCCAGACGAAACAGTTCTAAACAATCCGAGACAATCCGTGTCGGTCCGAAACCCAGACGAAACAATTCTAAACAATCCGAGAGAATCCGAGACAATCTGAAATAATCTGGAACAATTCGAAACAGATCTAAACAATCCGAGAGAATCCGAGAGAATCCGAAATAATCCGAAACAATTCGAAACAATTCGAAACAGTTCTATACAATCCGAGACTATCCGAATCGGTCCGAAACCCCGGCAGGGTCAGTCCGAGTGACAGATATGATAGCAGGCAGGAGCGCATGTCGCAGTGACAAAATGTAAATGACGTCATCGATCTGCGCCGACAAAAAGCAGTCGTCGAGCCAACTGTCGCGAGTTCCCGATTACGGGATCGATTAATGCGAGCTACCCCCTCGTCTCGTCGAGCCCGATCTATCAACGGGGCGCTCTCCTCTCGTTCTCACGTCCACGTATCCTTTTTCCAAAAATCTCGCGAACGTTAGCAGGTACCCCGTTGCGTAATCCTTTTCTCGAAATCTGAGAGTAAAGGAAAAAAAGAAAAACGAGGAGAGGAAAGTCCCAAGGGTCGCGCGAATCGAGACTCGATCGCTCCCAATAACAAAACCCCGTGGGCCCTTTTTTTAATCCTTTTCTCACATTCCGGAAAAAAAGGGAAGAAAAAATACCGGGAGAACGAGAGACGGGGAGGAGAGATGAAGCAAAAAAATCAGGATCACCCCTCGAGAACGCGATATAAAGTCTCCACCCTAGTTTTGCCCTCGGCCCATCATCGGAAGTGTGGCCAAAGTTTATTCCGAGACCTTTTCTCCCGGAATCGGGGAAACGGATTCGCGGATTCATTGTGGATCGGTTTGGGTATCGACATTACCCCACCTGCCGCGTTTTCGGGGCTCGGTCTTTTTTCCTTTCCCTTTTTTTTCACCTTTTTTTTGGTCTCGATCCGCGGGTGTGACCCCACCACTGGCGCTGCAGGACCGAGAAAGACGTGTGTGCTCCAAAGGCCCATGACGCGTAATGGGACGATGTGGTTCGCCTTCGTGGCAACTAAACCAATCTTCGGCTTAGCTCATTCAAATGGAACACTTTTCGGGCTGTTTGTCGAGAGACTGCGCCCAATTTGTCGAGACCGCTCGCCTTCTGGAAATCCGACCAAATGATCAGTCGGCTCTCTTTCTCTCCGATCTTGGAAATTGGCTGATTCGCCCCGACCTGTGGCGGGACCATTAAAAAAGTGATCCAATTTGAACTTACCTTCTCACGTCACGAATTCCCGCTTTGTGATTATTTTCCAGTGGAATTTTTATTTTCAAATGTGGCAAAATTTACAAATTCTGACTATAATTTATTTTTTATAGGGATTTTTATTTTAAAATATGCACTATGAACTATACGAATTCTGGCTTTACAATTTCTTTTTTTATTGGAATTTTTATTTTAGAGTGCGCATGACAAACTGCGATTCTTTTTTGTTACGAATTTTGTATTTTCGTGAATTTGTTTTTCATTAGGATTTCTGCTTTGAACTGCACGCGACTAACTTTACGAATTCTCCAATTTTACCAATATTTACCTTCGCCAATTTGTATGATCGAAATAATTATTTTAAACCGTACGTGTCGAATTTTATGAATTTTCGATTTACGAACAGTCGCCATGAACCAATTAATTCGTAATGCCAGAAACTACCTAAACATATAAATACGTGAATTGGGTGTGTACAATTTTCGTGTAATTGGGTTCCTTAAATTTATCAGCGGTGTTTACTTGACATCACTATTAGAAATGATAGATCGGGGTGTTTGTAATTTTTTTTCTATATTTTTTGCGGGGGTACAGACCAGAATAGAAGCGATTTATGGGCACGAGGCTTTCGAAATCTCACGTCGGATTATAACTGTTAGCATTTTTTCCACACGATTACCATGTCCCCCTTGTCCGCGAACTGCTTTTCTGGTTAGCCAAGCGTCTGTTTTCCCGCAAAAGCGTCTCCCATCTGCTTTTTCGTCAAATCGTGCGGAAGGCCTGCGGCGACGTATGCCACTGACAAGTTATGTATCGTGCGCAAATGATAGGTTGCGTAAAGACCAGTAATC